AGGTTGTTGCACAGCAAATGCAGAATATAATATCGCTTCCTCCACACATTGGCAGATAGTCAGCATTACTACTCTTCTTTGTGCGCTAACAACGTCTTCAAGTAATTTCTGCAACTCGCTTAATTTACCTCTCTTTGAAGCCGTCACGAACAAAATACACAGTTGAACAACAACATCTCAAATTTTATTCCTTGTCACACTTATGATGGTATTAATAACTAGTTTACTGAAGATGCCATTAATCATTTCAGCTGTGCGGCCTATTTGTTTGATATAACTTGTCGACGCCAGCTCGGTCAGTAACAGAATACAGGATTGGTCATGTCAACATCTCCTTATCCACCATCACTTCTTGTGATATCTGCAGCGTTGTCAACAAGCAGTAGAGGAAGTAGGAGCATTGGAAGCAATGGAGGACATCGGATTTCGAAGAAATTATTCAGGAAGTATAATCAAGTGAAATAAATTCAAAAAGCAAAGTATGGTTGTAAGGAAATCATAAGATAGAATTTGAGAGACGACAAAGTACGTATTCACTTGCGCTATTACGAACGATTTTAAGCCATATCATTCAATGTCTCTAACCATCGGTTACTATTGTTTCGCGAACCTAAGCCAGGTAGTCTACACCTACTAACATGGCTCAGTACAGTGGTCAATGACTTCATGGATTTGTCCAGCGTTTTAGTTTGACCGCCCTTAGCTTTCTTCCAGACAAATCCTACATCAAAAAACATTGCTCGTCGAGGAAGTCCGTGCGAGGTTGACTGGTCCTTTGACCAGTAGACGGACATCTCGCGTACACTATAAGTGATGCGAATTGTCAAAAGCCAGTCGCGCCTTCTGTATCCGTGCTGAGACACACACCAGGCTATCGGCACTGATGAAACTCCAAAGATAAGTAAAGCGATCAACACGCTCAACTACCTCACTCTCTATCTCAAGTTCGGGTGCCGATGCGAGCCAATCCTGAAGCAATATTTCGCATCACATCCCGAACACGCCTGCATTGTTGCTTAGTGTGGTCAGAAGACTATGCACGTTTTCTGAGTCTCTATCAAACAGAAATATGTCATCTGCACATTCTGAGCCAACAAGCGAGTCTCCTGGTAGAAAGTCAACTTCCGAAGAGTCAGACGTTGAAAGTGTTGTTTCTATAAGCATGTCAATGACAAAGTCGAATGAGAAAGTGGACAACCCTGACGAGCACCACTCAGGGTCATAAGTTTCGATGACAGTTTGCCATAAGCTCTCACTGAATCAGTATTGCTTGAGAAGACAGCCAGTGCAAGGTTAATGCACTCGTTTGGTACTCCTCTCAATGACAGACACTGCCACAGAACCTCACGGAGAGCACATTCAGACGCTGTCTTAAGTTCGACGAACACAACTATTGTCGGACGCCGAAATGGGTGTCTCTGTTCTATAAATTGACATAGTATGTACATGCGGTCTTTATATGCAGGTTCAAGTCTGAAACCACCGTGATTTTCTCGAGTCTGCTCTTCACGAGTTCCCGGTACGCGCCAAAGTATTATTGAAGCTAATATTTTAGACACCACATTAGCTAAACTGATTCCTCTATGACTGTCACAAGAGGACTTTTGAACTTTTTTATAGACTGGGACAACCAATGACTGAGACTAGCCGGAAGCGATTATGTCCAGCTTCCATATTTCTACCTAAGATGTGGTTTAGAGCGGGTGTTCAGGAGACCAATGATTATGTTTCCAGTACTCGAAACGTGGTAGTCTACAAAAGTTTCCTCAACGATGACCATAAAATAGTCCACCGAAATTACCGCCTCCACCAGAATACAGTGCATCCAAAACATCCAAAGACTCAACTAGCGATAGACCATACACACTACTGCCACCACTGATGAAGGTAATTTAGGGACTGGTCAATGAACAACGAGGGAACATACGGATGAGAACATTATCCTCCATGATACACAACATGAATAAGGAAAGGCAGTTCGTGATCACCCAATTCACTCATAGCATGGGA